ATCCATATGTTGTTTTCTCTCCCTTTCCTCCCCTCCCCCTGGCTTTCTGGTTTCAATTCTATTTCTTTTGGCTCACGAAGCTGATGAAATTAGGGAAGATTATTAAAAACACCATTGCTCACCGAACAGGTTTCTTCCGAGCTGTCCCAGCTGCGAAGCGGCTCTGGTGCCTGTTGGCAACACTTATATTGGAAGTAATGAGAAAATGGTGTCGTCTTTCCTTGGAACCAGGCGAGGCCTGACGCTGGAGACTTCCAGCACAGGCTAATGAAGTTTGATTTGTTGTTGTGTTTTTGTCATGTTTTAAGGTATTCTGTCTGGCCTTCTGTATTTCCACAGGAGGGGTGGGCTTCCCTGGCGAGCTGGCAGCTGCGTGGATGGCTGCCGAAAGAAGGACGGGCAGTGGAGCTGGCAGGCGCTGCCGGGGGCTTATGTCCCCGGGAGGAGCTGGACACCTTTGTGTCTGAACACAGGGCCCTGGGCTGGTCGCAGCTCTGCATCCGGTCCTTGGTTCTGCTCACTGCTGTGCTCTGACTTCTCAGGTGCATTTTTTACTGTGTGTTGGGGAGGTTCTGCGTTTGGCTCTGTTCCCGTGATTATGTTGTTCTTGCTGTTGTCATTTGTTGTTTGCCTCGGGCCAGGTCGGTTTGTCTGGGTGAGCTGAGAGTCGTCCCTGTTGCCTCTTCTGTGTGGGCCGGTGTCTCATTTAAACCCCGGCCTTCTCGCGCTCTGGGCGGCTGGGGGCCTGGAGAGTTCTGTAGCCAGCACAGGGTTTGCCTGGGTGAAATCTGCTTCTCTTCCAGCACTGCTGTCTGCCTCTGCGCCGGTCCTTGCTCGTGTTGCTCACGCTTGTCGGCTCCTGGGAGTGAGTCAGTGTCCCCCGACAGCAACACGCTGCTCGGTGGCACAGTGGAGGAGTCTGTGTCTGCCCCGGGACCCGCAGCCGACAGCACGCTGGTAAGATCTCGTGGGAGATGCTGCTTTCCCAGCAAAGCTGCCTAGGGCCAGGCCCCTTCCCAGTGCCTCTGGATCCTTGCCCGGTGTGCTTGTCACCCAAAACAGCTGTTGGTGGAGGAGCGCTGGCTGTGTGGGTGAGCAGGAGCCTGGCGAGCTCCTGGTGAGTCAGCCTCCTGCGCTGGTGGAGCAGGAGCTCCTCCGGAGCCGGAGGATGCTGGCTGGCTCCACAGACTGTGCCTGGAGCAGTTGAGCAAGTCAGCCGCCTGCGCTGTGGGAGCAGGAGCTCCTCCGGAGCCGGAGGATGCTGCCTGGCTCCGCAGGCTGTGCCTGGAGCAGTTGAGCAGGCACAAAGCTTGGCTCAGCTGCAGAGTCTGGGATCCAGCAGCTCGAACATATGGTGGCGAAAAGGAGGGAACATGCGAACATGTGCTTTGGGGGCCATGGAACAAATCCACGGGCTCCCATGCAGACATTTTTTTTTTCCCAAGGAGGAGGGGGAGCTTTTTTAAGCCATTAATTTTCCTTTTGTCTACAGAAGAAATTTTCTGAGCAATCAAATTTTCCTCTGGGGGCAGGAACGGTTAGTTATCGTGCTGGAAGACAGCGCATTATTACCACGGAAATTGTATCTGTGTGGCTGCTGTGAACATGAAAGACGGGGAGATACGCTGTGGGTCAGAGGAGGCCCAGCCTCGCGCGCTGTGACCCTGCGGAGGTGACGAGGAGCCTCGGGAGGCGGAGGTGAGCTCACACCAGGCAGCTGAGCGAAGCTGCTTTCTGCCCAAGATTTGGAGTGAAACCGCCATGCGTTTGCTGTGTAGGAATGAATGCCCCGTGACCAGAGTCGGGGGAGTCGACAGTGATGGTCTGCTGTGACTTTTCAGATCTCCTGTTGGCGTACGTAAGTGGCAGGTTTGTGGGGGGGACAGAAGAGCAGCGCAAGTCGGGGCTGGAGATGAGATGAGACGCTGGGGCATCCCCGCCGTGAGGATGTGACTGCTCTCGCTGCTGCGCTGCTCTAACCAGCTGCAGAGCAAGCTGTTGCCTTCTGCTTTCCTCTCCTCTGCTTCCCCAAGGGCTTATTAGGAACCTTTGTCTCACTGGTGGATGCTGAGGAGGCTTTGGGTGAGGGTAGGAGTGTCGAAGTGCTTTTGACTTGTTAATTGCTGATGGGCTCTGATAGCGTAAAGCCCTTGTTGCTATGTAGATCTCCTCTGTGTTGAGCAGCAATGCAGGTGCTCGAAGTCCCCAGGCCAAGAAGATGACAATCTGCAAAGATGAGGCAGGAGCCTGATGACAAGGGGAGTGGGAAAAAGTGACTTATCCCAGGTTTTCTCTGTAGCTTGGGCTAAAGCCCAGTCGTGTGACTGGCCCCTGATCCATGCGAGCTGTCCCCTCTCCCTGCCCAGCCCGAGGGAGGCTGGCGGTGTGGCGGTCGAAGCCGTGCGCATTTGGGGAGGGCAGGATTGGGAAGCTCGTTCGCTTCAGTTGAGTAGAATCGGAGGTGGCAGCTGCTGGTTACTGAAGAAGCAGGTCCCTGTGGCAGTGGGTCTGTCTGGGTTCCTGCTCAGTTGTCACTCCCCTCCGTTGTGTCTTGCCCGTGTTGCAGCTGGTTTGGCTCTGCTTCACCCCGGGGTCTCAGTGCCTCTGCGAGCCCTTCCAGGAAAGGTATTTTCTAAGCTCTTTGTGTTTGGTTCAGACGATGATGGATCCCTGCAGCCTGTGAATCATCGCTCTTGCTAAGTAGCGCTGCGCAAGTAGGTCTTGCTTGTATTAGCGATGCGATACCTTCTTTGGGGCCATCCCGCAGATTGCGGAGCCCAGGGAGGAGTGAGCGTATCCAGTGTCCTGCGGGGCCGGGCCATTAATTCACCTCTGGCTCTAGCAGGAGGGAGGCTGGGTTGCCAGCTGTGTCTCACTGGAGCATTTGCAGACACTTTCAGCTCTCCTGTTTCTGCTTCATGATAGCAGCGGGGTGCTCCCCGCTTCAGCGTGCTGGCAGAGCCGTGCAGACGAGCTCTGGCAGACAGGGGAACAGCTGGGTCGAGGAGCGAGAGGAATTCGGAGGCGCTCGGACTCACGCAGGTGCTGAAGTTTTTCTGGAGGAAGGTTGGATGTGGCTTCTGTTTGACAGATGGCAAGGCTGGCTTTCAGCTGCTGTGTGCTGCCCTCCGCTCGGCTCTTCCCTGAGTGGAAGTGAAGACGTTCGGTGCCTTGCCCAGCTGTTGCTGGAGGGTGATGTTGGAAGCAGAAGATGAAGAAAGAGTTGCTAGGGAGTGGGGTTCTGAAGTGGTGCCCAGTGCAGTTCCGCTTTGATGCCTGAGTGCCCGTGCGGGTGCTGCTGTGTCTGCCGAGCAGGAGGAGAGGGCAGGCCGTCTGGGGAGCTGCTCACACACCGAGACACTGTAAGACACCGGGCATGGAGCAGCAGAGAAGGTCGGAGCAGTGCCAGCTGCAAAGCGAAGCCGCGCTGTGGTGGGGGGCCGGCCGGCTGCATGGGTGCTGTGGCACAGCTGGCAGCCAGGAGCTGCTGCGCTGGGTCCTGCACACCCATATTTGCCCTTCCCGTTGGTGTGAACGTGTCGGAGGTGCTGAGGCTTGCAGTGCGGAAAGGGAGGGGAAGGAATTTGGGTCCCTCCCCCATGGAGGAGAGCGGCATCTTTCCAAAGGCATGGGAAGGTTTACGAACAGCCGATCCTGGTTGCTCGGAGATCCCTTCTCCCTCCAGCCTGCAGCCGTTAATCTTGTTATCTCAATTGCAAACTCTGACACAGGGACTTTCCCCACCCCAGCCTCCATCAGAGGAGTCTTTTGTCTGTGCCTGCTCTGTGGAGGCAAGGAATCTGTCTGCGCGTGGAGCTGATTTATTGTCTGACTTCCACGGTGCCCAGCAAGACTGAAGTCCCTCCCTGCTGCCCTTTGGCTTGGGGAGGGTCCCAAGTGCCAGCCATGAAGCAACTGCATTACCTGCCGGCTCCTGTTCTGTCCATCCATCGCCTCTCCTTCACTGCTCTAGCTGAGCAGACGCTGTGGCTTTCATGGCTTCCACAGCCAGCCCTGCTGGGGCCGTCTGTCCGGAGCCAGAGTTCTTCCGCTGCGCGACGTGGCTGGGGAGGTGCATGGTGTTGGGCGAGTCGGCCGAGGTGCTCCTGGCGTTGGCGCAGCCGGCGTGCTGTCATGCCGTGGTCTCATCGCTGCGAGGACGGTGGTTTCGGAGCCTCGTGCAGGTCCTCATGCCCTCGCGCACCTCCCGTCCCTCCTGGCTCCTGTTTGTGTTTGGGGCGGGGACTCGCTGTCTGCAGCCAAGGGCAGTGTGGGTCTGTTTGGCCACGGCGGTTCATCGCCGGCTTTGATGTCAGCGAGAAGGGGAGAGGAGGAGCTGGCTCTTCAGGGACAAGCCTCAGAGGAACCAGTAACTGCCGGTGGGCAGGGGCAGAGCTCAAGGTCAGCCTCTGGCAGAGCATGTAAGGAGCTGGTGAACGTGTTACCTGGGAGTGGGGAGGGATGGGGACTTGGGGCCTGGGGGGCCGCTGGCCCCAGGGAAGGAGCTGGTTCCTCTGCAGCTGATGCGGCAAGGCTGGCCGGTGCCTGGCTGCACCCCAGGACAACGGTCCCCGGCGCACATCCCGCTGCTCAGCCCACAGCACGGGGTCTGCTCGTTAGAGGTGCCCCTGTGCTGTCCTCTCCTCAACAAACCACACAGAACTGCGCAAAAAACAACCAGCAAGTAGAAAAATTGCAGCAGGAGTAGTAATAACCGTGTGTGGGAGAGAAGCAAGGCCACAGCGTGTCAGAGCGGAGGGGCAATTCAGCACAGACGGGCTGGGACAGCTTCCCCCGTGTGCTGCGAGCTCCAGCCGTGTCTGCGGCTGGCCCCGCGCCCCGGGGGGGGGGG